AACCGACTTAGCACACAGCAGAAGTTGACATTTAGCTTAGAATTGCTCAGCTGATGACTATGACGACGATGAGACGGAGATAACCGCTAAATCCTCAAAGCAGAGGTTCGCGTTGAATGATGACTAGGAACCCGAAACCGATGAACCGGAACGACAACATCATGCGCAATTGATCTTAGATCAATGATCTATCAGAAACCTGAGAGGAATGTGTACGTGAAATACAGTAATACGAGTCTAAGGAGAACGTTGAAAGCAGTAGCTGACCCCGAAAACTAAGAGAAGTAGCCAAGTCGCGACTGGCGAGTCATGCTGAGAGTCGTAAATAATTAATTAACGGCGTGAATTGGCCCCTGCTCCATTACCATCATCTATGGAAATGAACCAACGTTGAGTCTTGAATCAAGACTCTTGATATAATGATCATGTACGAACTCCAATGACTAGTGTATGCTGGGCACCACCAGTTAGGTGGCACCAAAAGTTTGGTCCAATTTGGACCGTCCACTGGACGGTCCACGTTCTGGACGGCGTCCAGAACATAAATCGATAGCCAGGGCGCACGCTGTTCGATCCATATTTCACAGCCCTACAATCACAAGGATTGCCAAGTTGGCAATCCTTGTCCAGAAGACCAACTTGGCGGGAGCTGTCCATGTGCAGTTATTGCCAATACTGATGTTGGCGGAATGAGAACAACACGCAGATTACTGCACATCTGTTGGATTTTGCAGAATCCACCAAATCTTAGTCCAAATCAGTTGTAGAGTAGCGTATTTCACCACATTGTTGTAATCTATTCCAACACTGGTATCACCTAGAATTCCTGTCGTTAGGCCTGCGAATCTGTTTGGCGTCATTTTGGCGATTTCTGAGTTGGCGAAATCTGATACAGCCAATCGTCAGCGCAAAACAGATAGCGCGCGCCAAGAAATTGTCCGACCATCTTGGTCCTATTGATACTCATGTCCGACCACCCTGGTCCTATTGATACTCATGTCCGACCACCCTGGTCCTATTGATACTCATGTCCGACCACCCTGGTCCTATTGATACTCATGTCCGACCATCTTGGTCCTATTGATACTCATGTCGGACCACCCTGGTCCTATTGATACTCATGTCCGACCATCTTGGTCCTATTGATACTCATGTCCGACCACCCTGGTCCTATTGATACTCATGTCCGACCATCTTGGTCCTATTGATACTCATGTCGGACCATCTTGGTCCTATTGATACTCATGTCCGACCATCTTGGTCCTATTGATACTCATGTCCGACCACCCTGGTCCTATTGATACTCATGTCCGACCATCTTGGTCCTATTGATACTCGTGTCCGACCATCTTGGTCCTATTGATAATCATGTCCGACCATCTTGGTCCTATTGATACTCGTGTCCGACCATCTTGGTACTATTGGTACTCATGTCCGACCATCTTGGTCCTACTGATACTCATGTCCGACCACCCTGGTCCTATTGATACTCATGTCCGACCATCTTGGTCCTATTGATACTCGTGTCCGACCATCTTGGTACTATTGATACTCATGTCCGACCATCTTGGTCCTATTGATACTCATGTCCGACCATCTTGGTCCTATTGATAATCATGTCCGACCATCTCGGTCCTATTGATAATCATGTCCGACCATCTTGGTCCTATTGATACTCATGTCCGACCATCTTGGTCCTATTGATAATCATGTCCGACCATCTTGATCCTATTGATACTCATGTCCGACCATCCTGGTCCTATTGATAATCACGTCCGACCATCTTGGTCCTATTGATACTCATGTTCGACCATCTTGGTCCTATTGATACTCATGTCCGACCATCTTGGTATCATTGGTCCTCATCTTCAGGATGAGCACCAACGGTGGCCGCGAAATGTGGAATGAACGGCAAAAACATCGAAACTGGTCACATCTATCTACAAGATTTGTGGAGTGAACATCCGCGTACAATATCTGAGCTCATATGTTCGATCATGGTCCAACCTGGCCTCTAAAGTGCCATATCATTATAAACCCCAAAAATACAACTAGACGGCGAATACAGAACTGCCTACGACCAAATGGACGGTCAGAGTCAGTCCCTGTCAGACTAATCTCCAACTAAGCGTTCGGAGAGAGCGTTCGAGCAGCTCGAACATTGAAGTTCTTCTTTGTCTTCTCTTGGTGCTATTGGGTTCCATCGCGCGGAACCGCCTTGCTACCGATCAACCAGTATGAAAGCATCCGTAAGAGCAATTGTCTCAGCAGGTCGGGAATGACGCATGAGTGAGACTAGACCCAACTCTCGCCACACAGAGCGGTCCCCTGTATCTATAACGCAATGTTACATTGGTTGACAAAGTAACTGCTCCCCAGTATACAGCTGAAGCTGTGCGACTCGTATGGTATGAGAATTTCGAACTGTTTTAGATTCGATACCGAGATTGGGTAACAGAAATGATCAGGAGTGGTATGCCGATCCCGGCTACAAAAAGTGTAATGTTCATGTACGAAACAAGACTAAGGATGTTGCCATGATAGCTGTCCCTAGAAGGAAGCCACCACCGGCCCATCGGTTGGTCGGATCGAAGTAAGAGGCGGAGAATTGGAGTTTGATTATAGCGATGTATGCCTGGAGGGGATCTCACTTCGATACGCCATTGTGTAACTCACCATTATCCCGGCTGTGAGGGCGAACATTACAGCGATAGTTACATCATTAATCATCTCACCAAGGATCAACCATGCCAGGATGCCTAATAATACCATACCAGAGGCTCCTCTATCGTTGATACCCACCTCCCAGGGGCTCGGCGAGGGCCGAGATAAGCGTCCAGAATAAGGCCTGCTTCTTGCTACCAGTGGCCTTCAACACCGGAGAGGCCACAGCAATACCTGGAGACGCTCGAGGATGGCCAGGACGACGTATGGGCAACTTGCCTTCTGGTATGTTATGGATGGCGATCGCGATGGCCAGAGAGGCTCCCACAGACGGGTCCTCGAGTGTGGCGAGGAAAGTGACTATTCCTTCAGGGAAGTTATGTAGAGCCACGGCACCAGCCGTGAACAGAGCTGTGGCTAGCAGCCTCGACCGAGAGTGTATCTCAGGAGCTTCCCTTGGCGAGTCGACAGGCCTCGTAGAGGCTGATGCAGTGGATGTGGTCGGAGTCCAGACTCCCTAACAAGACAATCACCTTTGTATATACAGGCAGCAATCGCACGCCTGGAGCGGTAGGCTATTGGCCCCCACACACATCCAGCGGACTCCCCACCAACATTTCACCATGATGGAAATATCTCCACTATGGAGTTATTCCCATCATGGAAAGATGCTCATATCCACATGCTATGAGTCATGAGGACTCCATGGGTTCCCAAGTCGTCTGCCGGTCTTACAGCGGCTCCGGTTTCGTCCTTGACGTTATCGCTCTCCAATTCCGTAGCTGCCTCCGTCTCTAGACTGATTCTGGCCTTGCGTTCCTTATGAGAAACCCACACTTGTACGAGAATATCCGCTCCCTAAACCGGAATGTCATCACGGTCGTACGACAACGTCGAGACGCATCTTACCAGGCATAGACCATTCCCTATGAAGTAGACCAGCGTCGTCATCATAAAGGCATGATCGGCATTGAATGATCCGCTCTCGTTGAATCTTAATCCGACCGATGCAGACACATCAGACAAGGAAGGCAATTTACAAATGAGTGGCTTCCGGGAAGATCTCCACCAGACTGACAAAGACCATCACGCCTGCAGCCACGGCTAGACAACCAGCGAGCAAAGCATGGTTGTCGGGATTACAGAGGCACGCTAAGCCGCCACCGATGACTGTGGCCAGTCCTGACACGACGGGAGTAAGGACTCAACGTAGCGCTGAACAATGGGCTGTTCTCTAGGCCCAAATCCCAAATCAAGATGCGCAACGACTCTCATCAAGTAAGGGACGAGTCTTTCACCTGCTGCTGAAGTCAATCCGATAGCGAGGCCGACGTTCGGGTGGTCGATTATCATTCAGAACAGATAGAGCCGGAAAGGACTGCTAAGGCACAAGCGATCTCCAAGTCGGAATGACTCTCATCCCCCACTCCACTGGGCCATGGAACGACATTGACTGTTAGTCGGAATTCACGAGCCATGTATCATACAGGAGAGCCATATTTACCGATTATCACTAACTATAACATAACCCGTTAGGTGTTGGAGACACTATTCACCAGTGATGGAGTCAAAACAGAATTACGAGCTTTCCTCGTCCAGCGTGCTCGTTGAGTCGCATTGAAAAAATAAATCGGCAGTCATCGGGGTATTACCGAGAGGAACAGTATGTACTCATAAGCGGAACAAGACTAAGGATGTTGCCATGACAGCTGTCCCTAGAAGGAAGCCACCACCGGCCCATCGGTTGGTCGGATCGAAGTAAGAGGCGGAGAATTGGAGTTTGATTATAGCGATGTATGCCTGGAGGGGATCTCACTTCGATACGCCATTGTGGAACTCACCATTATTCCGGCTGTGAGGGCGAACATTACAGCGATAGTTACATCATTAATCATCTCACCAAGGATCAACCATGCCAGGACGCCTAATAATACCATACCGGAGGCTCCTCTATCGTTGATACCCACCTCCCAGGGACTCGGCGAGGGCCGAGATAAGCGTCCAGAATAAGGCCTGCTTCTTGCTACCAGTGGCCTTCAACACCGGAGAGGCCACGGCAATACCTGAAGACGCTCGAGAATGACCAGGACGACGTATGGGCAACTTGCCTTCTGGTATGTTGTGGACTGCAATTGCAGTAGCTAAAGCAATCCCAACAGACGGGGCCTCGAGTGTGCCAATGAAAGTAACTATTCCCTCCGGGAAGTTATGAAGGCACACAGCTCCAGCCGAGAACAGAGCTGTGGCCAGGAGCTCCCTTTTGGTGTGGACTCGGGGTCGTGGTAATCCTTCTTGGCACTCAACATTCCCTGTAGGGGGCGTGGCACTCGACACTGGACTCAATCCACCCTGAATAGAACCCGACCAATGGCTTCATTCGATACTCTTCTCAGTGGCATACACTTTAATACCGCACCAACTCCTACACTCATTCCTCCTGACGCTCTGCTACTCAGACTCACCTCAACTCTGATTTCATCCTTCACAGGTAGGGGGTCTGCACCAGTAGTCAACTCCTGGACTGCGATCGCCGCTTCGGCGAGGCCGTGATGGTCATCATCTTCCGCGGCTACATCGGCCTTTGAAACCTTATTTTTCTTATGGGACACCCACAATTGAGTGAACATGTCTACCGCCTGAATGGACAGACGCTCGAATCCTGTGGCGTAATAGAGAATCCCAACAGGGGCCAACAGTAACCGTGTACGCATCTTACCAGGCACAGACCATTCCCTATGAAGTAGACTAGCGTCGTCATCATAAAGGCATGATCGGCATTGAATGATCCGCTCTCGTTGAATCTGAGCCCGACGATGCTGGAGACAGCACGTTGTGTGCTACGACTCACAATCGAGTGGCTTCCGGGAAGATCTCGACGAAACTGACATATACCATCACGCCCGAGGCCATGGCTAGACACCCAGCTAAGAGAGGATTATTGTCGGGATCGCAGAGGCATGCCAATCCACCACCGATGACGGAGGCGAATCCTGAAGCCATACCATACCACCGTCACTTAGGGTGGAGGACAGAACATAGCAAACCACCAAGTTTCCCAAGGATCAATACCTGCTACAGTGGTCAGTCCAATTGCAAGGCCAACGTTCGGATCTGCCCATACCATTGAGGAAGAATGCCAAACGCTGTAAACAACACTTTTGGGCGTAACTCAACAAGCCCGTGGCCTCTTCACAGCCCAGGAAACCTTTCCCTGGTGTAATACTTGGGGGTTACAAACCTCCTACAAATTACCGTATAATGAGCCTGTGCTGGGAATCGAACTTGGGACCTCCAGTGAAATTCGTTTAGCGGAGTACAAAGAACATCAGACTGAGATCTTTAGCGGTTGACGCTGTTAGCATTGCCGGAGTGTGCGGTGAACTAACTCAGACGCTACGGCAGCCGGGGTCGGTCCTGGCCACCTCCTGATAAGCTTACACCGTGATGACAGCGTATGAGAACAAGCAGTGGGCCTTTTAGTGCATGGACCCGTTGTTGTTTGCAGTGCACGGAGTGTGAAGCACCACAACAAATGTTACTTCGCGTTGGGCGTGCATGATTGATGATTATTGGGCAACAACTACAACAATTTCATAGTAGGAAGGCGAGCGAACTATCAATAGATTCCTTCGCACTCAGACATATGCATTTAAAGACGAGGAAAGACGGGAAGAGTTGTCGGGAGGATCGAACTCTGAGCAATGATGGTGGCGCGCTAGTAGCGCGCGAATCCTCAGAATGGAAGTACACTAAGTACTCGGAATGATCGGCGAGCGTGCTCCGCTCCCCCGACATAATTGAAATCCACGCTTTAGCAATGGAACCGAAAGACACTACATCCGAGATAAACGTCGGCAATAGGAAGAACACTACAAGGCGACTCTGCGATAGTCGAGGAGATGCACGCACTAGCGTGTCTCCACTTCTGTACTAAACCACTTTTGTACTAAACGATGATAGGTGAGCGATTTATACCGGATCTGGACATTTTCGCACGCAAACGATTAAGTTTTTTAGTGGGTAAAATATCCACTGTTGTACTGCGCGCGTCCGTACGGCGCGAGGTATGACACTAAGGATTCTGTGATGCTGGTCATAGGCGAGCGCTACTTTATGTACATGCGTGCTGCTTTCACGCTGCTGTGTGTTTACGTACGGGCTTTTATAAGTTAAGTTAGGCTAAGTTGAGTCCGGTATAAGTTCTATACAAGGCTTTTACTAGTTACTGACTTATACTAGCTTACATAGGGATCCATATCTATATGAGGAGGATATGGATAATAGGGTCTTCATTGTGTTGCTATAGTTTTGCGGCCATTGATTGCACTCTATTGGGCACTGGATCATTCGCTATGGTTTTGCGAACCCTTATGGGTTTAGGGTTTTTGAGTCATCTGAGGACTAAGGTTGTCGCTACGGATTGTCGATATATATTAACGGAGTCTAGCTTTGAGTTATCTGAGTTCGGAATGGTTGTTACACGTTCAGGAAAGACTACCGAAGTGCCACGTAATCGTGACACTGATGTTATAGTCAAGGTACGTCGTAGACGTGTTAAGGAAAAGACGAGTCATGCTTCTCATGCGCAGTGTGCAGAAAGGGAGTCAACCCATGGTACCTCGGTTACTCCCACTAGTTACCCGAGTCCTCATAGGGAGGACCACCGCTGCGCGTATTCTACCGGGATTCTTCCCGACTACAGATCTACGGTTACTGGTGATATAAGGTCTGTGAGAAGGGTTACATCGACCGATATCTTGTTGGATCGGAGCTTGGGGTATGATGGTATCAAGAAGAATGTATCTAACAACCGCACTGACTTGGAGGAGGCTCTAAGGCCGCTCGGTTTATTGGCAAGTTCCGAAGTGGAGCCCCCCCAACCTATTGGTGATATAAATGACATCATTGATGGTCCAGAGGAGCAAGGGCGACAGCATGGGTTCATCCCCATGGTGGTTAATGCGAGGCTACCGAAGGTATGGTATCCAAGGGTAGATATGGGGCTACCAAGGGATTCCTGTGAATGGTTACGTGGCTTGGCGTTTATGGCATACAAACTGGCCCAACTTGGGGCTGATAAGGTCATTGAGGCGCCCTATAAGGTCACAGTAAGGTCGGATAGTTGTGGTGAGCTACAAGAAGATTCATCAAGGGTGGTAGATATCACCACATCTCGCGCCCTTGTAACTCAGGGCGTTCCCCTCCGTAGTTTGGAAGAGGACGCTAGCGCCTGTATCGTCCCGTTGATCCGAGTTATGTGGACCGGGCGTTGGGCAAGGAGCCATAGGTCCAGGGTACGGTCAGATGGACAAGGTCAGTACCCCCGAGCACACCAGGAGTTTGGCTGCGTGCCCGCCAAGTTCCCCAACTCCTTAGGGTCTTCACAGTGCATTCTAGATCACGCCTGTGAGGGTTCTCCTAGTGGAAACGGGCATCCTCTCGATGCCATCTGCGATGATGTCACGCCCACTGGAAGGCTAGTTAGGGTACAGATGCTAGGTAGTTTCCCAGCCTATGCACTTGGAACAGGTCCGAGGTTGTCGTTATTAGATGGGAGCCATTGGTCGGTGCGTCCCTGCCTCGTCAAACCCGCCGATGACGCCTGCGGGCGTAGCCTTGTTGAAAGCGATGACAATGTACCAAACCTAGTATGCTTGCGTGATGAACAAGCGAAGGGTGCTCGAGTATTGGTTGGGGCGGTAGCCTGCCCGAAGTTTGAAGGGTTCAAAGGTTACGGTTCCACATGCTCTTCTCTGAGCGATTATTCTATGATCGACGGTCGTGCCTCGGAGATTGATGGACAAGCGGGTACTCGAGTATCTGTTAATGCCGACCACCCCCCATATGGTGTAGAAGGACTTTCTCGTGAGGATGGTTACGGAGAGGTTGTTGACAAGACAAGTCGTAGGGAAGATGACTATACGGTTATGCAGTCAGGAGTTCAACTACGACCACTACTATGTCATACTGTAACCAAAGGGACTAGAGGTTCGTCCTCCAGTTCGTCTAATTCAACTACTATTTTGCAAGCGGAAAAAGGTAAATACGGCTTTGAGCCGGAATCGACTAAGGGGATGATTTCCTCCCCATTTATCTGTTCACCTCAGGTGATCGATAAGTATCGGTCTTCTCAGTGTTCAGGTATTCAAGTAGAAGACAAGGACGGCCAAGGCCCCCATGAGCCATTCTTGTCAACTACAACCGATCAACCTGGGGACGCTCAGGAAGACGGTGAATTAACTCAAGATCAACGTGTTGATAGGGTTACCAATAAGGATTACCCCGAGGACGGCAACGATGATCAACGCGGGCAACAGAGACTCCATAACGCCTCTGACAATAAGCAGGAGAGAAAGGAAGAGTATGAAGAAGATAAGGTGAACGATGAGAATAAGAGGGATACTGCAAATGATAAGAGGAGATATGGAGAGAGTGGAAAGCGATACAACCCTTATGATGGGAGCTCTGGAAGTGGGAGTGATAGATCGAGAAGGGATAAGTATGGTGGAAGGAGAAGTAGGAGGAGAAGATCCCCTTCGAGCGACCCGACATCCTCGGATTCGAGCTCGGATAGTAAGGGTAAGAGACCGAGATCGAGCAATCGAGTAGATCGTTCGAGTTCGGAGGATAGTGATTATGGGGTGAAGCATCGCCTAACAGGCGGTGGACACTTCCATCCAGTACGTAGGGTTGTACGATCCTCTCGGAAGTGTGATGTCTGTGCCACAAGAGAGTGTCGGACCAAGATCCACTACAAGGAGTACGACTCGGCCGAGCAGATGGCTATGAAGCTT